CCCGCGCCTGCCTGGCAGGCGCCCAGAGCCCACCCCCCCAGATCCCACGCTCGGGAGGCAGGTGGGGGGGTTCCCCGCGGCATGGGCTCGGCCAGGTGGGTAGGGGGTGCAGCGCCAGTGCCAGCTGTCCCGCTCGGGGCCGGGGTGCCACAGCCGGGCAGGACGCCGGGGCTGCCCCGGCTGAGCCAGAGCGGACGGGGAGCCCAACCGAGCCGGCCTTGGGTGCCTGGGGGCCACAGGCACCGGTCCTGGCTGAGCAAGCCACAGCGCTGCCCGCGGTGCCAGCCACGCGGGGACGGGAGGATCGGCCGGGCTCCCGTTTGGGGTTTCCATGGAGATCACGCTCCGCTGGGCACCGGCCCAAGCAGCTGCCCTGCAGCTAGGAGGGGAGGGGGACCGGCCCCAGGCCCAGGCGTGCCGTAAAGGGGCCAGTCGGAGGATCCCGGCCCTGCTGCCACTCCAGAACGGGGCAGAGCACTGCATGGGGATGCCCCGGTGATAGAGACCCCAATGCCGCCCGTGCCACCAGCACCAGCTTGCCCAGGAGCTGTGCTGCCAGCTCCCAGCCCCTTACCTTGACCCCTTCCGAGCCAGCGTGCAGGGCGTGACCCCCACTGCCCGCACTCTGCCCGCTGCCCGAGCTCCGTGCGCTGGCCACGCTGCCGGTGCTGCCCAGGCTGCTGCGGTCGCCACCTGCCAAGGGGAAGGGAGAGTCAGAGACGTGGGTGCTAAGCAAGGCATCGCCCTGCCATACAGGGCCTGGACAGCCCCGGGAGCATCGTGCACGGACAGGTGTGCTGGTGCACGATGGCATCACGCAGCTCTGGCTGGCCAGGGGTGTAAGTTTGCTGACAGCGGGCACTGCAGCATCACAGGGCGTGCACCCCCCGTGCACACGTACATGCACGGCAAATACCTGCAAAGGGTTTCCGCAGCACCCAGATCTCCTCGGCTGGTGCTGGCGTGGCCGGTGACCCGCCTTGCGAGGGCGACAGGTGGGACGGGCTCATGTCGGACCCGCGCGAACCTGGCGGAGCAAAGCAGAGGCAGTGAGCGGGACCAGGAGGAGGGGGTGCAGGAGCAGGGTGGCACTGCCCGGCTAGCATCAGGGCAGCACGGCATGACCCCCCCAGCTGAGCATCACACCAAGCCCCCGTGCCCCCCAGCACAGGCCCTGCTGGCCATGGAAGAGGAGGAGGCAGCGCTGCCCCAGCAAGAAGACCCCTCCCGGGCCTGGGGCTCCCCTGCAGCTGGGGCAGGCACCACCAGCCGCGGGCTTCTCCCCAGCCAGAGGCACCGCACCAGAGACTGCTGGGCACGGCGCACGTGATGCCTACCCTCGCACCTCCAGGGACACACGGGGGTGTTGCTGGGGCTTGCACGCCCCTGTGCAAGGAGTGCAAAGAGCCAGGAGCTTTTGGTCTCATAGCTCAGCCCTGGTGCAGCCACCACAGCCCAACTCTCACGCGTAGACCTGGGAACGCCCCCGCAAGCCCTGTGCCATTGCCACATCCCGCCACACTGGAGTCAGCGGGCACCGCTCAGCCTGGGGGCACCCTGCCATGCCGCACGGCCTCCCCCCCAAGCAGCCGTGCACCAGCTGCATCGCAGCTCCCAGCAGGTGCTTTCCAACAGCAGCAACAGGGCCTGGCTGTGCCCAGACTATCCCCGCTGGAGCAAGGGCTCAGCCGGGTGTGGGGCTGGGATAGTGGCAGCCCCCATCTCTGTCTCCAGGCCTGGGGCTGCACTGCCCCAGCCCCAAGCCAGGCAGAGGACCGCGGTGCCTGCCACGGTGCAGATTCCCCAGGTCTCATCTCCCGCCCCCAGGACAAGGCTGTCATCACCTCCCGCCCACACCAGCAGCAAACCCAAGCACAGAGGGCCGGAGCCACGTGTAGACAGCAGCCCCACTGCATCAGGTCACCCGAAATCGCAGGCCGTGCAGCCGCCTCCACGCCATGCTGCAGGCAGGCTAGTTAGCACCGCTGCGCGCCAGCCCCCCACGCTCAGCAGGGATGGGCGCGGACGATGGCGGGCACGTGGAGAGAACCACGGCTGCGCCTGGACCCTGCAGCGTCCGCCTGGTGCCCTCCCGTACCCATGGACCTGCCGGGCACAGCCCAATGCCCCCGGCAGCCCAGAGGACACACAGCTCCTTCACGGCACTTTGCTGGGGCTTGGTACAGCCGAAGACTCCAAGTTAGGGGCTGCAAGGCCAAGGCGATGGGCTGTGGGCAAGAACATGGACAAAAGCCCGCCGGGCTGCAACCCCAAGGGCCCCAGTGCCCTGCAGCGAGCCACGGAGGATGCAATCCTGCTGCCCGTGGAGCTGCCAACACCCCCCACCCCCCATCACTAGCACAGGCTGCAGGTGGAGCAGGACCCGGCTCCTCCGTGGTGCTCGGGGACGCGCCGGGACCGGCAGGGGGAGCCCGTGCGTTGCATTTACACAGAAACCCACAGGCTCCGGATTCCCTTGCACCAGGCCGCAGGCGCCTCGCTCCATTTCTAGCCCTGGAGAAAGAAAAAGCCTGTCTGCAGCGCTGGGGGGACAGAGATGGGCTGCAGCCTTGGCTGGGCACGTCCCCGGGCTCCTGCACCCGGCAGCCCTCCAAGAAGGATGCCCAAGAGCCGTTTCAAGAGCCAGCTCCTGGAGGAGCTCAAGCCCCCGTGCCCGGCGGGCTGGGCCCTGCAGCGGGGCAGCAAGGAGCAAACCCAGCCTGCCCTTTGGGGCCTTTTGGGGCTGGGGTAGCAGTGCCCGTCGGGGCTGGAGGTCTGCCCGACGCCCCATGCAGCCCCACCAGCGCAGCCGGGAGGTGTCACTGCAGAGGCCATCGCTCTTCATTAACAGCTCTCGTTAGGCCGCAGGGTGATAAATCTGCCGCGGAGCTGAGAGCAGGAGACAGGCGACCACACTGCTAATGAGCCAGGATGCGGCTGACCCTCCCTGCACCAGGAGGCAACGTGGGGCCCCGGGATGCACGGGGCTTGCACGCACCCTCCGCTGTATGTGCCGTCCCCACCTGGCCTGAGACCCGTCAGACTCGTTACGCTGCAAGTGCCGAGCAGACCCCGGACAACGCAGCCGAGGCATGGGGGGAGGATGAGAGATGGGGCACCTGGGCCGCAGTGGGGAGGGACAAGGGGGCAGGAGACGCATGTGGGCCTGGGTCCCCGTGGGGGCAGAGCCCTGGCTCCCAGCCCCAGCTTCACCTGTCACCAGGATCTGCTCAGGGCCAAGCCCCGGCGAGACGCAGCCCCACATCCACGCAGGGTGCGCAGCCAGAGCCACGCCAGCACACGAGAAGCTGCACAGGCTGGGAGCCACCGCCCCAGGCAGCACCGCAGTCCTGCGCCAGGGTCTCAGCCGACCCTGCGCCCCTTCCCTGCTCCTGGGGAGGGATTCCCCCGCCCCGCTCTGAGCTCCCCTGGCCCCCTGTGTGCAGCTGACCCCGTTGGCACCAGGTACCAGGGCGGCAAGTCCAAGTGCCAGGAGGAGCCGTGGGGGCTGGCACCCTGCTCTCGGTGTCCCCGACGTCCTTCCCTTGCCAGCACGGCACTCGATGGGGCTCCTGGCCCCGGGCTGCTGTCCCGGCCCTGCCTGGAGCCTTCCCGCTGCACAGTCGGCTGTGTGTGTGTGTGTGCATGGCTGTGTGTGTGTGTGGGGGGGGCAGGCAGCAACCCCCAGGCCCACCCTCACGCTGGGGCAAGTCCATGTGCCGCACTCATGCTAGGGCAGTTCTAGGGAGGGAAGCAGGGAGGGAGGCTGTACACACCTGCTTGCACACACGTGTTTGGATGAATGCATGCTCATACACACGTGCAGAGATATGCCTGGTTACACATGTGCACACACACGTTCATGTACATGCATACCTACACACATGCCCACGCATACCTGCTTGCACACACCAAGTGTATGTGCATACACTTGCCTATATGTGCAGTCACACATACTCACACACACATACCCCTACTTGCATGTAAACATCCCCACAAGCATGCTTGCATTCATGTGCAGTCACACGTACATGGACACACACATTTGCACACATGCACCCTTGCTCACATATATATGCCTGCTTACATGCACTCATGCTTGCACACACACAAGCCAGTTCACACGTACACATACCTCCACACACACATGCTTGCACACATATATGCCTGCTCACATGCAAACACATCCACACAAATGCTGGCACACACACGCACACCTGCTGACATGTACACACACACACACACTTGCACGCACACACCCCTGCTCATATGCACACACACGCTTGCTTGCACGCACAAACCCACATGCTTGCATGCACATGCAACCCTGCTCCCATGCACATACACATGCCTGCTCACACGCACACATGCATTCATGCCTGCACACACACGCCTGCACACACACACATATGCCTGCTTGCACATACATACACGCTTACATGCCTGCTCACACACACACTGAAGCAAAGGGAAGGAAGAAGCCAAATGGAAAAAAACCAAGCCAGCCAGGCCCACCAAAACCCAACGTAAACGAAAGCAATGAAGCGAGCCGCAAACTACCTTGTCCACAGTGCCGCTCCCCCGCAGGGCTATGGGGCAGCCTGTGATAGCCAAAGGAACTGAAAAGAGGCTGATGGGAATGTGATGGAGGAGGTGGAGGTGGAGGCAGGAGATGGAGCGGATGGGCCGAGGCGTCGCCATTAAGCACAGCTGCCCCGGGGCCCGGGAGCGGGATCATTTGATAGTGCTGGCTAATGGTTACCGTTTCCCATGAACCTGATAACAGAAACATAACAAGAGACAAAATGAAAGGGCTCCGGGGCCGCGCTCAGAGCCAGCCGCGCACAACACAGGCAACCAAAAGCAAAGCCGAGCCAAGCCCAGCGGGGGCTCGAATGCAGCCTCGGGGCAGCCCTGGGGGGCAGCAGCAGTCTGGGGATCGCCTCCCCCCCCGCGTGCAGCACGCAGGCTCCGGGCCAGGCTGGGAGCGACGAGAGCAGGCCACGGACGCTGCCCCGGGGCAGATACCCCAGCCACAGCCAACCCTTGGGGGGCAGGGGGGCTGGCTGATGTCCTGCCGGTGCGGCAGGTTCATTACCGAGGCTGCAGCACCCATTGGCACCTAACAAAGGCATCCTAACGATGGCCCCTAACAAGGACCAGCTCCGCGGGCCATGCTCTGGAGCCCCGCGCCCTGCAGCGCCCATGCACAGGGCAGAGACCGTAGCCCAGACCCCGCAGCTCCCTGCACCTGGAACAGCTGCGGGCAGCGAAGTCACCAGGGATCCCCGCCGGGATGAGAGCCCAGGTGCCCCCGGCACACAGCCAGGCTGGAGCAGCCCAGTGGGTCACTTCCTCCGGTACCAAAGACGCCTGCCATGCGACCGACCGAGCCTGCCCCAGCCAGGGAGCAACCCCCACGCTCTGCAGAAGGGCCCCGTGCCAAGGGGACGTGGCTCTCGGCCCCAAATCCCTCCCGCACCTCTCCACATGCCAAGTGAGGGCAGGCCACCCGCATCCCTGGCTCGCTTCAGGCCCAATTTAGCAGCTGCCATTTCCAGCGCCGGCCTTCGAGAAAGCCAGACAAATCGGCGCTCGGCCTGGCCAACCGCGGTGCGGGGCCGGCCAGGGCAGCGCTCCCATCCACCGATCGATTGATAGCCGCCTTGGAAAGCTCTCGTTGCACCGGCCCTCCCACCACGCTCGGACTGACAGCTGATGCTCCGGGAAGGAGCCGCCGCGCGCCCTGGAGATGCCGTGGGCCGGAGGGCAGACAGGGCGCCTGGGCTCCAGACGGCGCAGCACTCCCCATGAAACCCATGCTCCGGCACCCATTGCAGACGCGGGTGCTGGGGCCTGGTTGAGCTGGGCATGGCCAGAGGCGTCCATCCCCACTGCGACCATGTCTCCCATGCACCAAGCAGAACTTGCGCCCCCAAGATGTCAGCTCGCGGACCCCAGGACCGGGGCAGCCCCACGACGCCGACGTGCCAGGCACAAGAGACCCTGTGCCCTGGCCACCGGGACAGCCACAGCTCCCCGGGGATTCGCGGAGGATAGAGCATGTGGGCAGGGTCTGGTGTGGGGAGAGGGGAGAAGGTGGGGAGGAAGAGGTGGGTACAGGAGAGGGTCACTGGGGTGCTGCACGGAGATCCCAGCCCCCAGACACGGAGGATGCTCGTGCATGCGCGGGGGCAGACTGACACACCACGGCCCAGATGGGCTGCTTGCAGGAGCTGCCTTCAGAGTGCAAGGATGCCCCAGAGGCGGCGGGATGGACAGATCGGGACCAGCCAGCAGACCCCGTCCACATGGGCACAGATGCGGGCTCACCCCGGCCATGGCCACCGCGCTGACAGGGGCTTTCCCGCCTCTCGCTGCCCCCTCTGCACAACCCCAGGCACCGAGCCCCCTCCAGCCCGCGGCACCAGTCCCGGCACTCGCACCCTGAGACCCCTCCTCAGCACCGTCCGCCCACGTAGCCCACAGCCCAGACCAGCAGTGCTGCCTACAGACGGCGCAGGGAGGGGGGTGCGCCTCAAGCCCCATCTCAGCCCCCTGGGGCAACCCCCAGCAAGGGGCAGCCAGCTCCAGCTTGGCCCGCAGGACCCCAGCGCATGGCCCACCACACCGCTGTCCGCCGGCCTCTCTCCCCTCTCCAAAGCAGCTCCCAGGCTCGTGGCCCTGTCCGGAGACACAGAGCCGTGGCCCTCCTCCCCACCAAGCCCTGCACTGCACCAGGCAGCAGACGGGCATTTGCCTGTTCGCTTGCTGATGGCTTCGACGAGGCTGGATGGGAAGTAGCCCACGCGGTCGTTGCCCGTCCGGTTGTCGTGGATGCAGCCCTTCCACCGCCCGTCCGCGTGCTGCTCCAGCACCTGCAGGCCACAAAGGCACAGGGGCATGGGGCAGCGCTGGGGCTGAGCCCAGGAGCCTCTAGCCTGGGACTCCCAGCCCAGCAGCGGAGCATCCCCCTGGCCCAGACACCGGGGATCAGGGGGTGGGCGGGCACCTGGCCTGCACCGCTCCCCCTCCAGCTGCCTCCCGCGCCCCCACGGCCCCACACTCACGGTAATGATGTCGCCGGCCTTCACGTTCAGGCTGGTCAGGTCATAGTTGTTGCAGTAATCCTTGACGGCCCGGACCTGCAGCGCAGCCGAGGCGTCTGCGGGACAGAGTTGGGGTCACAGGGAGGGAGCTCGGGGGCATCTAGTCCAAGCCCTGCCTCAGGCAGGATCAGGCCCGTCCGTACACCCAGCATCTAAACTCTACCGAAGACGACTGTCAGCCCTGACGCAACAGACCTCACACCCCAGCCTGCTGCAGGGACCCCGGCAGCAATGTCCTATCTATGCAAGGTTGTTTTAAAACACACTCCCGAGCCCCAAGGCCAAGACCATGCCCCCGCCGCAGAGGAAGGCAACCCCTCTAGTCTGGACCAGTTTAACCAGGAGGGAAATCCCTTCCTGCCCGCAATGCAGCATCGGTCTGAGCCCGAGCGCAGAGACAAGACCCTCCAGATCTGGGTCCCAGGGGGAGCACTGGCACAGCCCTATGTCCAGCCTGGGCTGCACCCAGCACCTCTCGGGGAGGCTTATAAACCCCGACACATGGAACAGAAATGGAGGGGCAAGCAGCAGAGCCCGGAAACCCCCATAGCAGCGCACAGGCGTTGCTACACCCGGATCATCCCTGACCAGCGGCTGCCCACCCTCCCCTCAAGCCCCTGCAGTGATGGAGAGTCCCCCCTGCCCCGATGTCCATCCCACAGCCTCCCTGCTCTGACAGCAAAGTGTTTCCTGATCTCCAACCTAGACTCGCTTTGCTGCAACTTCAAGTCATCGGCCGGCATCCTCCTCGCAACCTGAAGAGAGCATCAGAGACCAGGAGCCCCCCGCCCTGTCTCACACGCTCCTTGTAGGGGCCAAGCTGGCTCCCGGGGGCAGCCCCTGCCTGACCTCAAGCAACGGTGCGCGCTCCCCTCCCCCTTGGTCCTGCACCTCCATGGGAAGCGGCTGGGGGGCTTCTCACCTCGCAGCATCTGCTTGATCTCCTTGCTGGCCTGGGTGGCGGTGAACTGGTTGACAATGTCCAGCGCCGTCTGGTTGTACGTGTTCCTGACGTGGGCATTGATCCCGCTCTGCAGGGCACAGGCAGGGGCTTGGGGCCCAGAGCTGGCATACACAGCAGGATGCAGCCCCAAGCCCCTGCCCAGCACTCAAGGGGGCTGGCACACACTCGGGGGATGCACAATGACACCAAGAGCGTGCACTACCAGCCCCTGCCCCTGCAGCCAGGTCTGTCCATGCCCCCTGACCCCAGCGGAGCTGCGAGGGCCCTTACATCCAGCAGGAGCCGCACCACGTCGGTCTTGCCACACAGAGCCGCCTCGTGCAGGGCCGTGCCCGCCTTGGTCTGCCGGTTGATGTCGATGCCCGCCTGCAGCAGCAGCCTGAGGGCGCAGCAGGGGCCGGCTGAGAAAGACGGCCCCTCGCTCCTGACCTGCAGCCCAGCTTACAGCCCCCTGCTCCGCCGGTGCCCACAGCCCGGCACAGCAGTCCCAGCAGGAGGATGCTCCCTCCCACCGTGACCATTTGTTCAAGTCCAGCCCCCGCGATGCTCACCTGATGATGTCGATGTGCCCGTTCTTGGCGGCCAGGTGCAGGGGGCTGGTGCCATTGGGGTCGGTGGCGTCCCCCGGCTTGGGCTCCAGCAGCGCCGCACACATGTTGCTGTTCAGCAGCAGCTGCACCACCTGGGGCAGCGACATGGAGCAAGTGGAGAGGTGGGGACGGGCGCTGGAGCCCGCAGTGTGCAGGGGACTGGTCGGAGGGGCTTTGCCCCCAAGCATGGTGCAACATCAGACGCCCCCAGAGTCTCCTCCCAGCCACCCAGTGCCTGGAAGTACCTGGCCTTGCCTCGTGGGGCCTGGGAGGACTTACCCCGACACGGCCAAACTCGCAAGCCAAGTCCAGCGGCGTCTTGCCAGAGTTGTCCACGATGCAGGGGTTGGACTGGTGCTGCAGCAGCATCTCGGACTGGGAGAGACCAGACTGGCTCAGCACGATGCTCCCGGAGGGGTGGAGGGTGGGCTCCTGAGCGACTAGCCCTGCTGTCCCCACCCAAACCCTCCTGCACCCTGCACACACTATGCCCCACGGCACATGTGGAGAACCCCGGCATCCAGAAAGGGCCAAGCATGCCCGCGGAGCTGCCATGGGGAGATGGGGAGAAGTCCAGAGCACCCATGCACAAGGTAGGAGGGTCCGGACCCAGGGACCCTTGAGGCTCAAGCAGCCACATGCCCCCCACCCCACCATGCAGACCGCAGCTCAGTGCCACGGAGCAGTGATCAGGGCCCCTGCACCTCCCGTACCACGTCATAGTGCCCGTGCTGGGCCGCCAGATGCAGGGGGATCTGGCCCTCGTCTGACTGGGCGTTCACGGCTGACCCTGCCTTCAGCACCATCTTCATCGGCTCCTTCTTGCCCTGCCAGGCGGCGTAGTGCAGGGGCCGCATCCCTGCGGGGCAGAGGCAGCGTCCGGCTGAGTGGGGGCACCGTGTCCGGCCAGCTCCTGGCTGGTGCAATGTCCAGGTGCCAGGGGACGTGGGTCTGGGCTGGACCACCCCACCCATAGCGGACAAGGCGTTTAGCTCCGCTTGCTGCGGTGCCCTGGAAGACACTCGCAGCCCAGGCAGGGTCTGGCTGCCCAGCTCGAGCTGCACGCTAGCCCCTGCCTCGCTCTCACCTTTGTTGTCCTTAATGTCCACGGCAGCCTGGGCTTCCAGCAGCAGCGAGATGAGCTCCGTGTTGCCATTGAGGGCTGCATGGTGCAGGGCGGAGAACCTAGGGGTGCAAAGCATGTGGTGAAGCAGGGGCTCCCTCGGCCAGGCCAGTGGGCATCGCTCTGGCATGGCACAGGGCGCTGGAGCAATGCCCCATGGTGAGGGAGCAGAGCTGCCCCCATCCCTGCCTGGGGCGCACAGTGCCCCCCTCTTGCAGCTCTTTGCTTGCTGGGCCTGTCTCTGTCCCCCCTCCGGGACCCCCCTGAAGCAGCCTGGGGGACCCCAGTCCCTTTTCCTGGCAGCCTCGCAGAGATGCGCTACACTGGACCACGCCACACGCCACAGGGATCGAGGCCGGGAGAAACAGAGCGGAGCAAGGAGGGTGGACGTGGCATTTGCTCTGCCATGCACAGCTGTATTCAACCTGCCCCAAGGGATCTCTGCTGGGGACAGGCTTCCCCAGCCAAGCCCCGCGGCTCCGGGGCAATACTGGGAGGCTTCTCCAAGGAGAACTTGGGGGTCAAGTGTCGTGGGAAACCCAGCTGTGTGATCCCAGCTAAGCCCCTGGAGACGCTCACCCAAGTGGGAAGCTCCAAGCCTCCCAGCCCCAAAGGAGATGCAGCCCAGCAGAGCCCGGCCCCCTCACGGGCAGGGGGATGCCCGCAGGGTGAGGCCAGGAGCCAGGCAGGCCGGGGCTGCGATCCAGCCCGGACCGGGGCTGCACGTGCTGCAGGGCTCCAAGCGAGGGACGATCGGCAGGCGACAGAGGGAGGCCGCTGGTGAACCGCAGACCCCCCTCCCCCTCGTGACCCAGTTCTCCAGCTGCTGTGGCCGAGGCTGGAGCCGGCCACGTGCCTCCTGAGCTGGTGGGGATGGCAGACCCTATGCCAGCAGCCTCCATGCCCAGAGCCCTGGCGCGTGGCCGCGTGAGAGCAGATCCACCTCGGTGCTGGCTGGACACAGCCCCGTCGCCATGCGTGGCTGTCTCCTGGAAGCATCCTAACCCCAGGCGGGCTGCGCTGCCCGCGGGCATCGACTGCCCTCCTGCCAGAGCCGACAGGGAAGAGCCTGGGGTAGCCCCACAGGGGAAACTCGGGCCCGTGTTGGTGGGAGAATGGCTCGCAGCTCAGTGGTCTGCGCCACGGGGCAGAGACCACGGTGGAACAGGGAGGAGTGGGGCAGGTGGGCCACGAGCTCCCAGCCAGCAGCGCTGTCGTGCAGCTCATCGTTCATCACAGTGGCCAGGAGGCCTGCAGCAGGCACGGCTAACTCGCGGCTGGCACATGGCGGGGGAAGCTCTGACCCGCTGCAGCTCCTGCTCCCAGCGAGGTCTGCAGTCTGCCATTGCAATGGTCCCATCCGTGCATCCATCCAGGAGGCGACCGGCGAGCCGGCAGCCAGTGAAAAAAACCCGTGGGGCAAGAGCCCGCCCCGAGACCCACTCAAGTGCCAGCAAGATGGGGCATGAGATGCTGCCCCTCGCCCCAGGCTGATGGCACTGCCCCCAGCCGCGGCTTCGGGGCAGGCACTCACCCATCAGTGTCCTGGAAGTTGACGTTGACTTTCTTCGCGGACCCGAGGAGCTCTAAGAGGGAGAGAGAAGCGGGAATGAGGGCATTTGCCTGGTGCTCTGATCCATGCCCAGGGTAGCGGCAGGATGGCACAGGCCACGGGGCCCGGGGAGGGGCAGTCCAACACGCTGCCTCCCTAGGGTGGCACCTGCAGCCCATGGACACGCTGTCCCCGGGGCCGAGAGCCAGTCAGTGCAAGACCTCAGCTTGCCAGAGTGCCCCCTGCATCCAGGCTCTGGCTCGCACACCCCACGTGCTAACTGCACGCACGCACGCACGCACGCATGCACCCATGCACACTCCATGGACTGCATACACTCACATGCACACTCCATGAACTGTACACACACACACCCCCATTCACATGGTTGTACACTCTATGGACTGAACACATACACATATGTGCACCCCCCCCATGATCTGCACACACACACCCATGTACATGCCTGCTCACTCCATGGACTGCACGCGTACACGCTGCATGGACTGCATCTGCACACACACATGTACAGCCCATGAACTGCACACACACACCCCCACGCACACTCCATGGACTGCACACACATACATGAGCACACACTGCACAGCCCACGGACAGCATGTGCACACCCCATGAACTGCACACACCTATGCCCATAGGTACACACTCCATGGACTTGCATGCACACAGCCATGCAGACATCCACATCCCATGGACTGCACATGCACAGCCCACGAACTGTATACACACACATACACATGTCTACACAGTCCCTGGACTGCACCCACACATCCATGCACGCATACACGCACCCATGGCCATGGGCAGAGCAGGCAGAACACCCCGACACCCCGCAACCCACACAGGCTGCTCCTAGTGGACCCCAGCAGCATCTCCTCCGGGCCCCCTCACACCTCAGCAGGGCAGGGCAGGCCCAACAGCCTCCTCCAGCAGCTCCCCCAGCCCCACGCAGCCCCGAGCCCCCTGCAAGGCCTGAGCCCTGATGCCCTCTACAACCTCAACAGAGAAAGCACAACTTTGACAGCCAAGGCCGTCCCCGGCACTGGAGCCTGATATCTGCCCAGGCAGCATCTCTGGCAGTGCCCCCGTCCTGGCAGCGCAGGCGGCCAGGAGCCCACGCTGCCTCTGACCGACTCAGGGCAATGCAATGAGCAGGGCTGGAGCAGCCAAGCCTGGAGAGCCCATTTGCAGCCAAGCCTGGCCCCAGGCCACCTCCCTCCCCACGGCCCCTGGGGCATCTCCATTTCCACAGCCCACACAGCAGCTCCCAGGGGCAGGAGCCAATGCCAGGCTAGAGATCCCTGTCAAGGCAAGGCCAGGGATGCTGGGAACCATGCTGCTGTCTAAAAGCCCAACAGAGACATGCAGGGCATCCTCTCTCCAGGTCCTGGCCACTGCAGGGCATCCACGGGAGTCCAGAGAGCTGCTACATGCGGGGCTGGTATCTACAGACGAAGGGCAAGGCGAGGGTCTCACCGCGGTGCCCCTCGTCCACCACGGCTCACACCCGGGGAAGAGACCCCTCCCCAGAGCACCTGGGGTCTAACAGGCCCAGCTAGACCCCTTCCCCACAGCACGTGCCCTGTGCTCCTCAGCCCCACGACGGTGCCCTCCTCTGTGCCAGGGCAGCTGGGGCGAAGCTCCCACCCTTGCCTGGGAAGCTGCCTCCAGCAAGGAGCCCTGGAGCCTCTGGCTGCACCCGGCCACCTTCAGAGCCTCCCGGCTCCCTCCCCACCTTTCAATCGCACCGGAAACCAGGCAGGGTCCCAAGGAGCCTGGCACTAAACTGAGCCGGAGAGCTGGCAGGGGCTGCTGGCAGCCTCCCAAAGGCTAGCGGCTGCCTGGCGCGGAGGCCGGACCCACAGCAGGGGAGCCCCGGGGCTCACCTGTGCGCCAGCACTGGGGCATTTGCTGCCAAGGAAGAGCTCGAGCTCGACGCTCCGTCAGAGACATGCCTTCCTTCCTCTCTCCGCTCTGCTTGGACAAGTCCAGCCGTCAAGGGTGGTGCACGGAGGCGCTCACACCTGCCCAGCGCCTGGCGTAGCCACGCCATCCTGGGGCAGCAGGTAGCAGCTATGGTGCCATGGGGCCGGCTTGCTCTCAGCACCCGGCTTCTCTGCACTCGGGTCCAGCCAGGTGCCCCTGCAGGGCGCTGGCAAGCAGCTCTCCAAAGGGAGAGCAGCCCCGCCGCAGCGGCACATGCTGTGCACAGCCCAGGCCAGCAGGCTCCCAGGGCGGATCCGGGGGGTGCAGCTGCACCCAAACCAAGGCCTGGCAGTGACAGGAGCAGCGAGGGAGTCGCTTGACTTCCTGGCTCATTATCGTCAACCTGATTCCTTCTAAACTCTTCACTCCGCAGGTGTTAATGCCTCTCTCCCCTTTTTTAAATGGTTTTAATGAATCCAGCTCTCCTTTCTGCTGTCTGTTTGCTGCTCCTGGTACTGCAGCTCCTGCAGACTGTTCTGGACTGCAGCTAAAAACATTAATTCAATGTGGAAATCATCAGACCAGAGACGTGGGGCTGGAAGGGGCCTCCAGAAGCCCCATCGAGTCCAACCCCTGCCTGAGGCAGGATCAGCCCCGTGCAAACCAGCCCAGACAAACCCAGTGTCCGACCTCCTGGCAAAGCTACTGTCAACCCCGACACAAGACATCACACGCAAACCTGCCACGGGTGAAGCAAGGGGACCGTGGAGGTCAAAATCCTGCTTCTATAAAAGGTAGTTAATAGAGATCCCGGGTAGATCTAAGGAAGGCAAAATCTATACCAGTCCAACCTGGGGGAAAATCCCCTCCTGCCCCAACTACATCGGTCTGACCCTGGGCAGAGGGGCAAGACCCTCTTTGCTCTCCGCAAAGCGCTGGAAGATGCTTGGGAAGGTCGGGCTGTTTTATGACTCTGAGAGCACGTAATTCAAAGGATGACGGGGCTAAAGAAACAACCGGTTTTGATGCTTCTTATGCCTAATTTCTTGTGCTTTTAATACAGAATACAGGCTACAGCAAATGAAGGCACATTCCCATAGTCACACTTGTTTTTCGCTTTGATCTGACACTGAATAGGCCCCTAGCTTATAAGGAAAGCTTCTAGTTTCTTGAAGTCTGGAGAAGTGCGGGGGCTGTGTTCAAGGGGACGATACGTTGCACCCCCCTCCTCGAAATCCCAGATCCACCCGTGCCTGGCGCCCACCCCTATGACCTGCAAACTGAAAGGTAGTAAATAGGCCCCACAGACCCGCGTGCCCGGGGGACCAGTGCTGCATCAGGTCTGCACCCTCCCCGCCTGCACCCATCAGCCCCATCACATCTCATTCACCGGCCGATGAATGCACAAGCAACGAGCTCGCCCCTCCCTGCTGCACCCTCATGCTTTCCCCAGGGGCTCTGCCAAGGCTGGGTGCTATCCCCATTGTAGAGGCAGGGAAACTGAGGCACGGTGGGCTGCCAGAGCCAGACCCAGCAGTGCTGCCCCAATCCACGGAGCAAGGCTCCCCTCTGCCAGGAGCCGGCAGCCGCCCTGCGCAGCATGCGATCCCCAGCAGCAGGAAGACAGCCAGGCGGGAGGCGGGGCGCGTTCCCCTGCAGTGCTGGCTCCCGCCCGGCTGTGCAGAGGCCCGGCCGTCCCCCGGGGACCGGGGGTTGGCAGCGAAGCCCGTGCCTGGAGCAGCTGCCGTAGGAGCATGCTAAGCAGAAACTGGCCGTGCTCGGTGCCTCCATCCCGGTACCAACAGGATCGCAGGGTCCCGGGGACGGGCTGGAGATCTGCGCCCCACGGCCGCCGGGACCGGCGCGGGGGGAAGCCGGGCCAGAGCAAACAGCACCGCGGGGTTTGGGCAAGAGCTGCCGGCGTCACCCCTGCGAGAAGGGCAGGGAGGAAGGGGGCACCTGCCCCGCCGTCTCTGCGGGGCCAAGCCTCGTGCAGGCTCCTGCCTTGGGGCACCCCAGATCGCTGTGGGCTCCTGAGCACCCCCAGCCCTGCATGACCCCCAGCAAGGCCCTGAACCCCCCCCCCCCGGCTGCTGTCCACGGCCCTGCAATGCCTCACCGCTCAGGCCATCACTCGCGGCGTCTCCCCAAAGCCCCCGTGGGAGTCCAGGGCCCGATCCCACTGCAGCGGCCGAGAACGGCATCAGCGCGTCGGCGTGCCCAGGCCCTGCGCAGCGTGCGGTGGAGAGCTGCGTGCCGAGAGGGGCTTTGCCTTCCCCGCACTTCGCTCGCAGCCTCCCAGGGGTGATGTAGCCCCCGGCTCTGCCCCGGCACGGCCAGACCCACTTCTGTGCAGGGCGCGTGGTGGCGGGGGCTGGGGTGGTGCGCGGGCAGCGGTGGACGGGGGCAGGAGCATCGCCACCGTGTTGGCCACCGGTCTCTTCGCCGAGCCGGAGAGCTACAGCGCACAGCTGGGCAGTCGCCATGGCAACCCCATCCACTGCGCTGGGGACGATGCGGTTCTGGATCCCGGGGAGGGGGATGCACCGGGGGCCACGACGGTGCCAGGCTGCAGGGCCAGCCAGCGGCGCTGGGCAGCGGGGAGGGCACAAGCAGCACACGCCGGGCTGATAACCCCGCCATCCCCTCCTCCAGGCCAGGGGCAGGACTTGGGTCAGGACCTGCCACCTCTCCCTTAGGGCTGGGGACAGCTCTGCAAGGCGGCAGCAGGGAAAATGCAGCCACCTCTGGGGTGGATCGCGGCCGGCTGGAACGCAGAGATCTCCTGCCATGAGGGAGGCCGCGTGCTGCCAGGACGCTGCCTCCCCCAGCGGGTTGGGAAGGCGAAAGCGCTTCTCAGGAAGGACTCGCCAGGAAACTCCTGCCCTCCCCGAGAGGAGCTGCTTGGCTCGGCATCTGCCAGTGCGGGGGGGGGGGCAGGCAGGCAGGGGGCCAACGAGCTGTCACTGCCACTGTCCCGTGGAAAAACACCATTTTTCAAGAAAAAGGAGATTTTCCCACGCTCCAGTGCATGGGGGCTGGCCATCACTCCAGAGCTGCCTCTGCTCGGTCCTCAAGCGGCTGGAGAGGGCTCCCCGCTGAGCGA